CAGCTGCTGTTCCTGCTGACCCTGCCCTTCAGTTCAGGGCCCTGGCCGCAGCAATGGGGCAGATGACCTATCCCACTGACCACCACGATTAGACTAAGGCTAGGCCTGGGTCCCCAGCTGGGCCAATCAGAACGTTTCGCCTGCATATGCCACCTGAAGGTTGGAGGCTAGATTTTCTCTTCCCAAAGCTATCGTGACCGTGGTTTCAGCTTCTGGGGCCCAACCCTAAGGAGAAGAGCAGATAAAAGAAGTGGAGAAAGAAGGGGTGTTTGGGGGTCTGAATCCACCAGGACCAGAGGTCAGCTGCATCCTCGCTCTATTCGTAGCCTGTTGGTGAACCAAGTGAAGAGTGCTCAGTAAAAACTTGAAGGTCCTGCAATGGGACTTTCTTCACTCAGTCACACCTTCATCTGTGTTCAGCTTCAGCCCCTCCCACCCCCAGAGCAGCGAGTGCTAAGAAGCAGAGCTCTAAACGCCCTCCTTGAGTGTGGGAAAGGGCTGCAGCCAGAGAAGTGTGTCTCGGTGTTGCTTCAGCCGATGGAGCATCTGGGAGAAGCAGCAGATCACCTCTGGGGAAGGCAGAAGGCCCTCTGTCAGCCGTGGCATTGAATTCTCTATAAAAGCAGTTCGCTGGCCAAACACCAATACATCCTGTTGCTTGCCTGGCAAGCAATTGAGGAAATACATAAGGGATCTTCCATTTGTAACTGCGCATGTGTCTTCTCCAGAATCTTCAGGAAACAAAAGCTCAGAAATGTGAGACGACTTGCTCAACATCACTCGGATAATAAATGGCTGGAGCTAGGATGCAGACCCTATCTTTGGACTTCAAATTTTCTATTGTCTTTCAGCTCCACTCTCTGTTTCCTGGGGTTACCACATCACATGAGGTCCTACTTGAAGGGACTTTGAACATTTGGTTTTGAAGAATGAAGTCATGAAATCCTGTGGTTTCTCTGTATGGGGGTATGGAGAACGGAGGGGTGATTAGGAGACTAGTCTGGGAAAAGACACTCAGTAAACCTCAGTGGGTCTGACTGTCCTGTTCACAAAGCCGGTAGTTGGCCTTTTGACTATAAATATTTTGCAGTATGCACACTGGCAGCCTTTGTGCCTCCTGCCTCCCAAGAAAGCTAACCAGCAAGATCTGTCCAGTGAACTGTCCCTCTGCTGATCAGATTCCAGCCACGCTGACCTTTCTTCTCTCCATCCTCACCACAGGGCCTTTGCACCTCTTGTTCCTTCTGCCTGTTACACTCTTCCACGGTGTCTTCATCCCCCCACTATACGGCCCTCTCTTCATCCCTATTCAGATCTCAGTTCAATCCTCACCCCCTTGGAGAGCCTCTCCACCCTGACCCTGGGCCACCCCATCCACTTACCCTCCCACACGTCATTCTGTGACACAGTGACCTGCTTTGTTTGCTTCAGAGCACTGTTCCTCTCTGCAGTGATCTTGTTACATCTTCCCTCTAGGACATAAGATCTTAAAAGCAGGGACCTTGCTTGCCTTGCTCTCTGTTGGATCTGATGCAGAGTGGGTCCTTAATAAATACCTGCGGAATGAATGAATGAGATGAAAAGTCTGCCCCAGAGGTGTGTTTAATCTCGTCTCCTTTGTCACTCCAAATCAGGAAGTAAGGTAGGTTCTGGATGGGACAGGAGTACTGAAGACTGCTATGGTGGGTGTCAGGATGCAGGTGTCTCTCCGGTCAGGCTCAGCGCACACCCCCAAACACACCCACCCGTCACCCTACAACATAATGAAGCAGAAGTGATGGGGATTCCTACTGCACATGTGCACGCACACAGAGATATAAACACACACGCAGTGTTTATGTCCTTTGGAGGAACAGTTAGATTTTTTACCCTGAAATCAGTCCTCTCTTCTAGCAATTGGTTTTATTATTTTAATGGCTAATACTTACCTACTGCACAAAGTCCAGAGGGCACTCAAGAGCCATGGTAGCAAATCCTTCCACTGCTGTAGGCCTCGGCACTGTTCTAAAGCTTTACTTACTGTTAACTCATTTATCCTCACAACAGCCCTATGAGGTAGACAGTATCGTGATCATTCCTATTTTACAGTTGCGGAAAGTGGCCCAGGGAAGAGTGGGATTAAACCCAGAGTGTGCTCTTAAGACATCTCACTACAGTGACAAGTGACACTTCTGTCCCTACCAGCAGCTACCTCCCTCGCTAAAGACATCCTGTATTACCAGTTTCTCCCATGTCTTTCCAGAGATAGGCAATGCATAAACAATCTTATATGTGTATCCTTTTTTTTTCCACCTGAAAGCGCATGCTAGACAGACTGTCCTGCACCTTCCCTTTTCTCACTTAATAAGATATCTGTAAGCTATTTCATCCTTTTTTTTTAACAACCGTGTAGTATTCCGCTGCATGGATATACCACAAATTAATGGAGGGGCATTTGTATTGTTGCCAGTTTCTTGCTTTTACAGTGTCTAATTGCTGTCTTTTCCATCCATCCTTTCACATGTGTATGAGAGTATCTGTAGATAAATTACTGCCTACATTTTAAAAATGCATTTTCAAAGCTCCCCGTGAAGCTGTAAAAGTGCCTCTCAGTCATTTCTTAGCATGTTTGCTGGCTTCTTTAAGTGGCGTGAAGACTCCGGGAGATAAACACTACAGGCGCTGAAAAGAATTAAGCTGTTAATGAAAGGTAGGGAAGTTGTTATATTCTAGTAGAAAGTATATTCTTGTTATATTCTAGATGCTCCTGGGAATAACTAAACGTAGAAGTTTGTCCTGCACCACTAGTAAGGCTTCTCCCAGGGCACTTGGGACTGAGTACATTTATTTAGGAGAACATGGTAAGTCATA